TTGGGGTCCCCTTATTTTGGGAAGTACCATTTAGTTTTGAGTAATTGGGGAGAAACAAGTTTCAACCACCATTGCGTGAGTCATTTTTTTGGGGGGTTTAATGCACCTACTTATGCGAGGCTCCATTTCACCTTTCCCAGCTGAGCCTGAGACGGCCCTTTTAAGCAGGCTTGTGTAAAGGTCTATGTTTCAAGGGGAAGGTATTGGTAAGGGCAAGTATCCTCAGAAATGTTGCATGCATTTACACCGCCACGCCACATCTCGACATAAAGACCCTTCAAAACTTGTAGATAGGGCCTTATTTGTGGCTCCTGTCAGTACTGGCAGCCCATGGGTAATAACAAAATAATAAGCGTACGCTGCTTCAACAGACATTGACTGTATTTCTATGCGGGGTCCGCCTAATTCTGGAAACTCACGGCTCAAGTCTTGAGGAGTAGTACCTGGACCCCAAAAGTATGTAAATAATGACCTTTATGGCTATTATTAAGGGTTTAGGGCTATTATTTAACATATTTTGATGGTTTAGGTACTGGAAATTAGCGCTTTGTTGGGGTTCAAACCTTGTGGATTCAGGCTTTCCCTTTCTTACCCCGCTTGAGCTCATGGAGGCCTACACGACATCTGAAGAAGTGAGCCGGGCCATTAACGTTTGTAGGAGACCCTTAAGGGTACGTAAAGAGTATATAGTAGGTATTTAAGTTAAGGGCCCATACCCTAAACCCTAAACCCTGAACCCTAAACCGTGTAGGGCGCATACTAGGGGTCCATGGATTCAACCTCCGAGAATTCTCATTTTAGGAGACCCCCCCAAAGTTGACTCCTAACTTTCGGAACCACCTTGTATATATTTGGCCGCTTCAGACGGTGACGCAAAAACATCCCGCTCGCGGCAGCGGATTCTTATCCAAAATCCCGTTTCCACGCAATTAGACCAAGCAAATTCGACGCCCGCATGAGTTGCACTGCCCTACACCCTATCTTTTAGGGGCCTGCTTTTCTCTCACTTTTTTGGTGTAGTTTTTTGATTTGCGGGCTTGGGAAAGAGACCGAACCCTAAACCCCAAACCGCCCCACACGTGGCCTGAGCCCAGGCAGAGGCGAGAACTCAAGGTGGGGAGTTTTTAAAATCAACCTGAAGTTGGGTTTAGGGCTTAGGGTTTAGGGGTTTAGGGTTTAGGGTATAGATTTCCCATTATATCCCATATATCCCATATAGAAGTCTAATATAGAGTACCTCAAGACCTTACTGGAGATGTTTAGCCCCCCAAAATTGGGGGTCTCGGGCCATCCCTAGTTATGGGTCATTTCTTGGGTCTTTCTAGCAAGGGCCAGCCGAGCATTTCTGAAATGTTGTTGACCCTACAAACATCACGAAAAATGTTTCCTATAATATCCAAATCTCTAGAGTTCTGCTCATCCCAGAGCCCTAAACCCCCATAGCCTGCCTAAGCCCTCAACCCTAGCATGGTCCTTTCGGCATGCCATGAGCCCTTACCCTTACGCTCGCTCGTGCTTGAGGGGGAGTTGTGGAATGAGGTTATTTTCCAAGGAATCCCCGTGTAATCACCCAAAAGCAGTATTTCTATTTCCCCCTCCCCCCCCTCCTCCCCCCGCCCGGCCCCCCAGCCCCCGCCATTCTCCCCACCCCGCACCAGTAATTTTAAGACCTACCCAGGTCAGTGTGGTGTTTGCCACGACTGGTGAGACCCATTCAGTCGTTGCTGCTTGATGTGCAGATCAAAGCATTCGATTCACCGACTCGGATACACTCTGTCAGCAAGACAGGGAGTGGTAATAATAGTTGCAGTATTGTGCACTCTTGGGAGATGACAGTTAGCATGGCAATGAGATCAAGAGAAGCAACTTTAGCACAAGATTAGATCCTGCATGACCCAGCTTTAGCAATTTCCAGATTGGGTTTAAGGTGCTGACTGCTGTAGCCTCATGCGGGATCCAATTCACCAAGTGTTTGTTTCTTGTAGAATAGCTTGGCCGATCTACTCATGAAGGACCAAAGTTGGTACTGTACGCCTTCAGCTGCTTGAGAGGGCTTTGAGCTTGCCTGCGACCCCAATCAGTGACCCCTTAAGTAGTAGGAGGCATAAGCCTTAAAACCGAAGGTAGTTGGGGTTGCAGGTATGGTCTGGGTTTGGCATTTGAGGTTCTTGAATTATTCTGATTATTACGAATTATGATTACGGTTCAGTGTTCGAGGTTTGGGTGCTACCAGGCTGGTCTCTTTGAGAAGGAGATTCTGCTCTGAATCAGGACCCGCCAGACAGGTATGGTTATAGAATATAACAGCCCTAAACCAAAACCCCGCAACCTGTCCCTAAACCTGAGAATCCCCAACGAAGAGATCCCTACCCTTATCCCCATGGCCCCAAGCGTGAGCCCTAAACCTCACATCCCACACCCTAAGCCCAAAGATTCACAGAGGATCCCTCCACCCAAGGCACTCCCAGCCGATGCGCTAGTGTCAGATTTGGTGAAGGCCGGAGCTGTCAACTGGGCGTTTCTCCACAGGGCATATGAGCCATAACCTAAACTCCTTAAAGGGGGTATGTATAGGGGATTATATAGGGGACTACTATAGGGGATATTAAGGGGGATACTAGGAGTCTAGACTATAGTACATATAGTTTCCCCAAATGAGGGAAACCGCACTATAGACCCAAACTACTATGATTGGGTTGCTGTTAAGGAACTTGAACTAAGTTACTGTAATAAGGAAACCTGATTATTCACTATGTACTCATAAGATGGTCATTTGAATTAAGTTCCTTGGCAATAATTCTGGGGCTCAGTGTTGTGGGAGCTAGAGCTTCAGAAGTTGGAGGAGTGCAGCTGTTGCATAGGGTTAACTGCCCAAATCAGGACAGCATGGATGAAGTCCGGATGCCCCTAACGAAAGCCTCAAGCCCTTGACCTGAACCTTGAACTGAACCCTAAAGGCCCTAAGCTTTTCAACCGGGTGGGCGGGTTCTTGGCGCCGCTATGGTCAGGAGTTAAACAGGAACTCCCCCAACGGCTTGGGCAG